ATGGATAAGAGACAGGAGGCGGGGGTGGCTGAGCATACTGAGGGGGAAACCCCATATGGGGGCCGTAGAATCCATATGGTCCCATACACCCTGACGGCCATCCTACCATCCCCGGAGAATAATTAGGATGAGCTACAACTGCTTGAGAGTTCATTGAGGCCAGGCTTGGAAATGGAATTTGAGGTGTTCCACCTGGCCCCATTGGCAAAGCTGGAGCTTCCCCTAAACCCCCACTACCCGTACCCTCAGGGGTCTCAGTCAATTCTATACTCTCAAAAGTCCCAGAATTATCTCCACTGCTTTGCCCATGAGACTCAGGAAGCATTACCTCCGGTGGAGCTCTTGGAGTCCCAATATCATAAATATTCACTGAAGGTCCAGAGGTGACCCAAGGACTGAACGCTACACTACCTGTTGTTTGCTGAATTTGACGCCCTGACGGCACTAACTGCGTGAGAGCGCCTGGTTGGGGCATTATACCCCCAGAAGTTCCTGCAGAACAAGTCAGAGGCAGAGGAGGTTGGAGCGGCATTGGAATCCCCAATGGACCCATACTTACAGGTGGACCCGCTATATTTGTCGCCTGCACCAAACTACTCTGATTATCTGCCGGTGTAGACAATACTCCAGATGCCTGAGTTAATTGAATATTCCGAACCCTTGCCCTCAACAAACTCGAATCAACACTGCTTCTTGAGGATTGTCTAGACCGAATACTCCTACGCTCTTCAATATCCTGCAGCCGATCTCCCAAGGTTGAAATGGCTTGCGCCATATTCTGAATCATCCCCTCCAGTCGGCTCTCTCTTTGATCTGAACGCGAATCTGCTGCACTCCTGGCTGAAGGCGTCAAAACCCCCTGAATCAAGGTTCCGCCAGGCCGTTGTGATTCCCTCTCACTTAGACAAGGGGTGCTTGGCAATGGCGGAATTCCCAACTGCACAGGCATGGACGCTCCATCCCTTCCCGAAGATCTCGAAGTCACTGACGGTGCCACACGTTCGCTAGCAGGCCTAACCTCATCGTCAAGGTCCAGCAGCGGATTTGGGAGTGATCGAGGCCTTGGGACTTCCCTCAAAAGCCCACCTTCTTGCGATCGATCCTCTCTAGGAACCGCTTCAGCTCTCTCCGCGCTCTCAGGGTCAGGTGGAAGATCTACCCTTTCAGCAGAACTCCTCGCCTCTGTTTCAGCCCGTGTTTCGCCTACTCTAGTTCGTTCATCACCTTGACTCGCACTTGCGGGTACAGCCCCGATCCCACTTCCTCCACTATAATCTGGTTCTCGCGTCGTCTCATCTACTCTTACTTCGGCAGGACGCCGAGGATCCATCACCATGTTGGGAATTAACGGTTGTACTGTTCCTAGATCAGGTGGAGGAATACGTCGAGTTGCCGTACTCATGGAAGAAGGCGTTTGGCTTCTTGTCCTGTGACCTTCTGTCCCAGGTGAACGACTACGTCTTGTCATCATATCCATGGCTCCACAATTGGTAGCAACTTATGCTTACAAATCTGATGTGCTTTGAATGAGACCCTTAGGTATCCTTGACTTATCGGAATGCGCAAGGAGCCTTTGGGCTCATAACCTATTGGAAGGTTATGGTTGAAAGATAGGTTGAAAAGCTCACGTTCACCACAATCGACTCTTTTCTCACTACTGCGCTCGAATCGTAAAAGGCCTGGAGGAATCACACACATGAGCCCTTGAAGCAACTGGTGATGACCGGGTTTCTCACACAGCCAATTCGCATTGGGTGCCCTTCCACACTGGTGATTCCATGTACCTTGCAGGTTTCGCGAGCAATTCATTTTCACGTAGAGTCCCCCTCAATAATCTCCATAGTAGTCCCCTATATAGCCCTCATTTAAGGAGCTTAGACTATAGCTTACATGTGTCGGAAGAAACAGGGAGAAGAAAGGCCTTGGCGCCTGCGGCTCCGCCCGACCCCCACCAGCCCCAAACCCTAAACCCTAA